TATCTATCTATCTATCTATCTATCTATCTATCTATCTATATATATATATATATATATATATATACAGTATATATATTAAGCCTACTATATAAGAATTGTATTTTTATTTAATACTCACTTTTTATTTTAAAATATGATAGTATTATCACACTTTACTATTTCGTTTATCATCTAAGTGCAATAATACTACTATTACTATTTTTAATTATTTTTAGTGCTGTCAAAATTAGCACGTAAATGCAAGCGATACATTTTTCCAGTTTTCCAGATGTTGTCAGGCCATATGCCAGTAAAAACAAATTTTCCTGTACTGTCAGCCGTTATACTGTGCTCGTAGTGTGTGCTCTTCAATTGCACGTACAAATACAGAGGCGTGCGCTGTAGCCTGTATCATTTCATATTTAAGCGCGAATGAAACACTACGAGCATGCGTGTCCGATCCGCGTCACGTTCAGCAGCGGCAGCTCTTAAAGTAATAGCAGCCAAATAACCTAATAACCCAACTGCTGTCATGACTGTTAAACAAAGAACAAAAGAGAAAAGAGGAAATCAATAACTTTTGGAGCTTTAAGGATTCATCTATATTTAATTTAGAAGTAAGTGTTTGATAATAACTTTATTTAATTTCTGTATATTTCGTACTTGCTGAAGGGCACAGGCAAATATGACATTTATTACAATGGGTTTATGTGAAGATTGGTTTAAGTTTACTTAAATTAGAAGTTATGTTTTAAAGTCTACGTTTTAAAGTACAACATTACGTTTAGTCAGTGATTAAATATTAGGGGGGAAAAAGACCAATTTCCTAGAGACATCAGTAGTATTGGTATCAGTGATAGGCCCTGTCCCAAATGACTCGCCTTCAGTCATAAAAAAAGATGCCATTAAACAAATATTAAAATATACTGTTGTTTCTACATTAATTTGAAGATTAAATGTGAAATTATTGCAATATTAAAGTATATTTAAAAACTTTAATGTTAGGTGGGATTAATCTCGAATAATCGCGATTGGTTTCAGGAAAATGTGCGATTAATTCGTTAATTTTTTTAATCAATTGACAGCACTAATTAGTGTAATAGGTCACACTACGTGCAGTGTGAGCACTAAACAAAATCACCAGGTGCTCTCAGACTAAAAAAATGTATGTTCACCCCTGCATATATAAATCCTGTGGCAGATTTAGACAGGTGGTGCTGGGGGAGGTGGAGGGTTTCAGAGGAACTCTATAATGTGCTGCAGGGCCAGCTTACAGTGAACTCTGAACCAGACTATTTAAATGTTGAGCAAGCAGCTCACTGACTGCAGAATCAGCAGAGGCCAATCAGCTTGTGCCATGTAGTGAATGAATTGCTGTCAATGTTCTTATGTCTGCCATTTGAATTGTTGATGCTCTTGCAGGCAACTGGAAGAGCAAAGACAAGGTCAGCCGCTCACAGTCCCAGAGGTCCAGTGGAGTGGACGCTGGCCGTGGGAGTCCTGCAAGGCCACAGAGTGCCAAGACTCACCGCAGCCACTCAGGTGGGTTATGAGGAGCTGACCTTAAACACACTCACAGCAGATGAGAATAAAGCAGTTAAAGTTGGCTGTAAATAAACACTGGCTTTTGACCTATTTTAGCTACAAGGCTAACGGTGTTCAAGAGCTGCTAACACTGAGGTGCTGTTCTTGACCTTTGAACTTTAAATACCCTGGCTATGTCCAAGTTGAGGCTCATCAGATTACGACCTGTGTGTATATCTTATCCATGCCTGAGCGAATAGAGAAGTCAAAATAGTCCGTGGTAAACAAAGACAGGCTGTTTTTCTGGCCGGCTCCCGAGTTAGCGTGTGTGAAATGATCAGTGCTGTTTGCTAAGGTTGCTAAACTGTCTCTTGTTTTTAGGGTTGGTGCTTTGAACAAACCCTTAACAAGAAGTCAACTTCACTGTGACTTAAGCAAATTGAAAAGCAGTCATGAAAGTGTCTCTCTTTAAGTACACTTAGGTGGTCTTTTATTTCAGTTATTTGATATAATCTGCAAATACAGTTTTTAAAAGATATAAGATTTTAAGTTGCATTTTAAGATAAAATTAGATTGTATCTGCACTACATGTGCACATTTAATACAGCTAAGTACACTTAAGTTCTTTTTTACAAGGCCCTTTAAAGGAGATGTTTTTAAGTCATTATGTAAGCGTCTGACAGATGCCTCACATGTTTGTCAGTTCACGAGTTGTACGTGATGCAGTTGTGATCGTAACTCACACTTGAATGCTCTTTAACCTTTGAACTCTGACCCCCACCCCCCACTCTCACAGCGTCCAGCACCTCGATGAAAGATCGGCCCCTGTCCTCTATGGACTGTCTGTCCCAGGACGTCCCGCTCCAGACCTCATTCCATGACAGCACCACAGAGCCGAAAGAAGCACTGGAGCTCCATAAAGAGCTCAACCAATCAGAAGATGAGCCGGTGACATCACTCTAGAGATCCTCCAATAGGAGCCGCCCCATTGTCTGAATGAAATGTTTACAGCAGTGCGTGACACAAGCTATATAGGTGAAACAGAAGGTTCCTCTGTAACATTGAGAATATCTATATAAGATTTAATAAATGTTTTTTGCACAAGCGTCAGTCATATTAAATATGCAAAACATTGTTTGTCATCCAATGTGAGTATTAATTCCCTTTTACATTCTAAACTCTCTCACAGTGTTGATCTGATGAATTTGACCCAGTACTTGTTGGTGAACATTTTTTCAATCAGTTCCAACCAGTACAAAGTATCTGGTATAGATTCATGTCTGTTTCACCTCAAACCTACCTCTTACAACATACAGCTACTGCTTTAATAAACAGCAATTATATCTGTCAGATGTATTATTCAGTTGAAGTATTAATGGTGATAATCTGTCCCACTGATGCAGCAGTGTTGGAAACGGGGCTGGATTGGTAATCGGGCATACCGGGCAGTTTCCCGGTGGGCCAACGCACTTAAGGGGCCGACTAAATGTTTTCTTTTTTTGCCAAGGACCATCACGCAGGGACAGCGAGCAGCCAGTGGCCCATTGGATTGTCTCCTGTATAGACAGCGTAAACCATCCAATCACAATGCGCTATAGACGGAGTGATGAAGTATTCTGCTCCGCCTATATAAAGATCGCTTCACCCCAACTTCTTCCTCGTCGGCTTTTCCCACGTTTTCACAGCAGATTTATCAAGAACAGGCTTGCGCTGCGGTGAGTGATGCTGTATATATATATATATGGTGGTGGGCCGCCTGGACCAAAAATGCCTGGGCCGATTTTTTGTCCCAGTCCAGCCCTGGTTGGAAATACACTATATTGCCAAAAGTGTATTTCCTTTTTGAACCTTGTCTTATACACAGAGGCATTGTTGTGTTAGAATAGAAACACACAATTCATTGTAAGATTTGTACTGAAAAATTACTAAAGTAGTCAAACCTGTTCATTAGAAGGTGTCCTAATACTTTTGGCAATATAGTGTTTCTATAACAGCACTGGTGATAACACCATGGTCGTCATTACAGTGAGCTATCGCACTGAATCTTACACATGTATAACGTCAATTTACTAAACACCCATCATAAGCATAATTGAGGTCTTGCGTTAAAGTGATGTAAATGCTGATGTTTTAAGGTTTGTTTGGAGCGACTAATGACTCATTTCATGACCTTGTGCTTTTAGCTTCATTGTCACCCCGTTTCCAATTTGGATTTTGTTTTTAGAACAATCTGAGGTCACAGATACAAAGGTACTCAGTGTACAATTTTACCATGTGCAGACCACACACTTCCTGTAGCGCATCATAGACGTCATTTCCAAATTACTGACACAGGGTTTAATCGGGGGAAAAAAAATAAAATAATCACATATGGTTGACAAAGTAATTTAAAAAATATTGTAATTAATGAGCAATGGTATTATTCTGATGTAAAATGGTAATATATGGTACAAATCAAATAATGGTGATATTATATACACCATGGTACTATTTTGTAAAGGACTGTAATGTATGTAAATGTAAATGCAAAAATTGATATTTTTATGCAGAAATGACAATCTTGCCATTATTTCTCCCAATGTAATTCCAATCCAAAATCGCTTCTTTCATGGAAAAGAAATAATATATTTAATTTAACAAAGATACTAAGTGCAAAATATCCAAAATGTTTTGTGTTATACAAAGTGAATGTGTTGCGGATACTGGGCACTGTCAACCACAATAAATAATATAAAATAAACCATCATAAAAGTCTTCTGAAGTCATAAGTCGAAAGTCGTCCACAGCATATCGCTCAAATCTCATTTACTTTTGTGTAATTTTCCCCCCTTTTCAAAGACCCAATCCGCATTTACTTTGATTGGATGCACATTACCAAATTTTGGTAAAATATTGTTTGTACTACCATTCTTATTTCTTGTCCTCACAAACCATAATGTATGAGGGTTTTATGAACATTTACAATTTCCTTCTGCTCGTGCTTAAAATCGGAAAATTTAACCAAGAATGTGAGAGCAGAATGAATTTGGATAAATTGCTTATTAAACCAAACTTGTTCTTTTTTTGTTTAAGTTCAATGGTTTGTAAATCCATTCTCTGTTAAATTGTACCATGTACAAAAGTCTTGTGCTGAAGTTACACAGATATGACAATTTAACCAAGAATGTGTAAACAACTCAAATGTGCGCAAATGTACACAAATTCAATTCAATGTGACAAACTACAAAATGATGGATTTATGAACGTTTGTTAGAAATCTGTTCGTGTGTACATCATTCATGGATCCAAACTGTCACACTGACTTAAAAACGTGAATTTTATGCAACATTACTTTTACGAATGTAATTTCCCTTTTCAGAGCTCACTTTCACTGTATGGAAAAGAGCAGCGTGAACATTCTTCGAAACATCTGCTCTTATGTTCTTCAGAAGAAAGTCGCAAGTGTTCGTAACGGTGTCATGTTTGGCTGACATTATGCTTGCATCAACACTTGCTAGCATGTGAAGTTGTGTAATGATGTCCCAGTTTCAGTCACGTAATCGTGCGATTGTTGAGCGAGCAGCTTGAGTGTGTTAACATACCTAGACAGTTACAAAACAAAATTGTTATTATCGGAAATGGGTTGCAGTAGCATGCAAGAAATCCACACTTAGTTGTTACACGTTAAAGACAAATAACACAAACCACACTAGTCATTAAATCATTTATTATGACCTTAATAAAAACACAATGACCTCCAAAATGGTTTCAGATCTTAGCTTTTTTGTCAGACATATAAATACAAATCTCAACAAGGGAAAAGAACAAACAGTACAGGAGGGAAATCGATACAAAAAGTTGTTCGCTAACTAATTTGTTTTCTTGATGAAGGAACTGGTCAGTCTTCCTGCCTCTCGATGACTCACGGCGTATGTTGATCATCACAGCCGCAGTCTAAACAAACATGTCCCCGAAGAACTGAATCACGACGGTCTGAGATCTACGGCAGCGCAACTGTTCAAACAGTCAATGCCTGTGCCTTTCAGCGCTCCAGAGAATGACATTTGAGAGTACTGGCCCGGTTGCTATGGGAATCCAACCGAGCGACAGCTGAATTAAATGGAGACACTTCAAAAATCACAAGGCACTGGTCAGACAAACTCCAGACACTGACATCAGAGCCACCGCCGTTTGACTTCAGACTCTCGTCTCTTGCACCACTTCAACATAAATTGTCTTGGCAGGAATGACCTACTGCCCAGATGGCTACAAAACACTTACTGTCAACCTTTGGAGACCAACATGCTAGGTTTCTTTCTACACGGCAAACAACAGCCACCAGATGTGGCGGAAGACCAAACAAATATCTGCCATTATCGTTCTAGTGGCGTTTTCCAAAACCAAGAGTACTTTTCGCATTTCACATGCATTTTCTGGGCCAAAACACAGAAGCTGATCTATCACGTAGCCGTCTATGATTAAATCAAAATGGCTAATGCTTAAAATGGACCCGAGTTAGAATTAGACACCATATTTAGGTTGGTACAACTGAAGGAAGCTGTGAATTTATTCAGTGAACGTCGTTACGTAAACGGATGTATTTTGTCACGAACATTTATACAAGCTTGGTTTTATGAACATTTGCAAATTCATTCTGTATGCGCTTAAACTGAACGCACTGATTTATCAGAGAACGTACAAAAAGTTTGTAAATTCAGTCACGATTAAATGAACTTGGAATGAATTTGGGTAAATAGTTCGCAAAACAAAATGGTACAATTTAACAGAATTGACTTACAAATTATGCACACAAATTCGTTCTGCTTGTGTTTAAGTTACATGACAATTTACGAAAGAATGGTTTTGTAAGACATTCGCAAATTATTTCTGTGTGTGCTTAAATTGAACGCAACGATGTATTTGAGAATGTACAAATAGTTTGTAAATTCGGTCACGTTTAAATCATAATAGTGAACTTAAACACAAGCAGGATGAATTTGGGTAAATAGTTCGTAAATTGAACAGTTTAAATAGTAAAAAGTTCACAATTGTTTTCTTTGCATTTACGTTCATCAATACAATTTAACCAACTTTATCTCACGCCAATTCGTACATATTTTACTAGGTGGCTAATTCGTACGAATGCATACAATCTCACTCGTATAAATTTGTACGTTTTGTGAAAAATCGTACATATTTTACGAGGTGGCAAATTTGTCGGATTTTGTATGAATGACCACCCCTACCCCTTACAGAAATCATACAAAACCTTACGAATTAGGTCGTACAAATTCATACGAATATGCCACCGTGTAAAATACAAACGAATTGGTCGTGAGATAGCGTTGATTTAACAGAGAATGGATTTCTGAACACAAATTGGTTTTGCTTGTTTTTTAGTTATCTATATAATGACAATTTAACTAAGAATGTGTAAATGGTTCACAAATCAATTCTTGGCAAAATTTGCGACTACTTAATTCACCGCAATAAATTTGCCTTATTTATGAAACAAGTGATCATCATCATTCATAAATCTGTTCCTGCATAAACTGCCCTATCAAATTAATGTTGAAATACGAAAGATTGCTTTAATTAATAATTTACTTTGCGCGAAACAAGCTGAACAAGCTCCTTTTGTACATCATTCATAAATCCATTCTCACATAAACTGAAATTGAATTAAGTGTTCACGCAGTGATTTTTTGTGAATCTACAGTTTGAAAAAAGCATAACAAATTCCTGTGTGCATAGTTCATTAATCCATTCTTACTTAAACTGAAATGTAAATGTATGAAATACTGCTAAATTGCTATGAATAATACACAGTTATTTTTGACCCAAAAAAAAAAAAAATTATTTTAAGGCACATTTCATGTTTAATCAACTAAACGACCGATGTAACAGAACGATGTTGAAAAAAACTGTACATTTATCTCATCACAGCCTCGTTTTCAGTCGCTTCACATTAAATATGGCGTCCAGCCTGACTGAGGTCCATACTAAACCACGAATTCAAACCTCAAGACGGCAAAAGTGATTGTCTAAGATGAACGAATGAAGGGAAGGTGACATCATGCGAAACTAAAGAAACCCGTCATCTCAGAAAACCACTGCCAATCAATGTCCTGATCTAGGGTCAGCCTTCCCGCTCGATTACATTACAATCAGTACAACACAAATGCCAATATGTGACACCAGATCAGTCCTCGTCCACGGAGATGTCTCATCGCTTTCACACGGCGCGTTCGGCAGAGAGCGTGAGGTATTTGAGCCCTCGGTCGCAGCAGCTCACACGGAGAGCCCATTCAGCCGCCGGAGGTAGGATCAGGCCACAGCTGGAGCTGAGGTAGGTGGAGCTGAGCTTTACTACGCCGGCTGTGCTGGACCTCCAAATATCAGACCGCTCAGATCTTTACAAGAGTCTGCTAGCATTTTTAGTTCTTGGGGGTGGGAAAAAAAACAAACACAAAACACTTCTTTGAACTCGAGTCTGTATTCCTCAATGACGATTTTAGTTTAAACACAACAAGCTTTCCTGATTTAACCGCATACATGCTAAAAGTTGCGAATTTACCAAACAAGAATGAACTTTCTGACCAGGATTATTGCAAACTCTTCCTGATTTTTTCCATTTATATCTGGACCAATAGTTTTTGTTGATTCTGAATAAATTCAACTCGACGCACTTGAAATTGTGCATTTCGAACAAATAAGAGGTAATTAATCATCTCATAACAGCCTCTGTTAAGAACTCAATAGACACTAGTTCTACAGAAACGTCCTCCTGATGCTTCCTGGGATGCAGAACGACACGACCACCATGATATGTGATTCAGTCTTATTGTTTGTCAGCCGTTTTATTGCGAGTGCTTGTTGCCGACACAGCGCTACAGAGGAGGAGAGAGTCCGAATACGGTGAACGAACGAAGATTCACACGCACACATTCGCCCTGATCGTCCTCCGACGACTCCGTGGCTTTCTTTCGCTGTTGGATAGCGAAACATAAGAGGCTTCTTTGGGACTCTAACACCTCTTAATGACTTCCATAATTTTTTTTTTCTCATAGTGGTTCTTCCCAGGTTTGGACAGAAATGAAATCGACAATAGGTAAACGATCAAAACGAAATCTTCGAAAGAAGAGAGATTGTTCATCTTTAGAAAACTGAAAGAAAGAGTACCACGTCTTTCCCCCTTGGCCATCCAAAGTCTCAGTGAGTATATTCCCGCCCCGTTAAACCGTGTATCCTCACCCCAATTTACACCTCCGGCCCTCCCCGCGTCTCCCCCGCCGCAGAGTTTCATCTCTGGCCGTGCAGAGCTGACATGACGGGCGTCTGCTGGCCGTTGGCGGGCTGGGAGCCGGGCGGCCACGTGGGCGGCGGGGGGGCTGGGAGACGGGCGGCCACGTGGGCGGCTGGTGCATGTGATGGTGGTGGTGATGGAGCACGTGGTGGCCTGTGGGAGAGGACGGCGGCAGCCAGACGGGCTGGTGATTGGGGGGTGAGGAGGCCCAGAAGGAGCCGAATCCCTGTGCGGAGGCGTGGGGAGGAGGAGAACACGCCATAGACACCTGGGCCGAAGCGCCGGCTCCGCTGCCGCCTGTGCATTCAGACGTCCGCAGCTTGGAGAACATAGTGATGGCGTCGGGGAAGTTGGGCGGCGTGGCGGGAGTGTTGCGTGGAGTGCACATCTGAGCACAAACAAAAACACAAAAAAACAGCTCAGTTTATCTGATCCCATGTTGGTTAGATAACAATAGATAAACACAGATAAAAAAAACATATATACATATATATATATATATATATATATATATATATATATATGTATAATTAATTTAAAAAACACAGAAAATTACTACAACTATAAAAATTAAAAGGGACAATACCAAAATAAAATAAAATTCAAAATAATGGGACTACTCTGTATTCATATGGTATATACTGCTATATTGGTTTCGTATGGTTTTAAAACTTTTACACTATTTTCAAGTAATGTTTTAATTTAATAACTAAAAATGTCATATGATAATCAACAAATAAAAAGTAATAACATTTTCCGTACACCATACTGTCAATAAATAAATAAATAAATGCTTTTTATAACAAATATTATGAATGTATAAATATAATTATTTTTAGGGATTTGCACCACGTGATATTTTACAACCTAAACTAACCTTGACCTGATAATAATAAAAAAAAATCTGATATTTTAAGAAACTTACTGACCTTCAAACACAGTCATAAAGGTCTGTATCTTTCCCTGTTTTTTAGGTTTATGTTTTTTAATGCATGCTCGTCACACCACATGACTTTGACTTGGTGGATAAACATCTGTCCAAATATTAATAAGCAGTTTTGTTAAAATATGACTTGGATTATGCGTCTTCAGGTTAATCTAGCCTTATTAAAGCATTAAGCCCCGTGAAGCCTTGGTTTACAATGAATTTATAACAGCTAAGGGGCGTTGTTCGGTACGATGTGAAGCAGAGTGCCTAAAACCCCCTTAGCTGTTATAAATTCACTGTAAACCACGGCTTCACGGGGCTTATTGCTTTTATAAAACGGTTATTCCATATACGTAGTAAGGTTTCACAAAATAAAACAGAGCAAATAAAGAGTAATGATATAAATAAAAACAGTATTCTTCCACCAAACAATGTAGTTCCTTATTTGCCTTAAATAGAAAATGTTATTTCTAAGAAAAACTAATAAAAGGTTATGCCAAACAACATCTTTTGAAGAATAATTTTTTTAATAGGGCTTTTCTCTGTTATTTCAGGACAGCAGAATCATTATCAATTTTAATTGAAACGTCAAAATGAATTTTAATAGAGAAATTAACGCATGCACATTGTAGAAAAGGTGTATTCGAGGTGATCACACGTATGAATTATATTTGAATAAAATTAACAGATAAGTCACATCACTGACCCATGTAAGGGCAGAATATGTCTTATGTTAGTCAAGGTTACTTGCACCAAAAAACAATCTTGTTTCACATGGCATCTCAGCCTCTGACCCTTAATAATAAACAGGATGGATTCCTGCTGTACTTTAATCGCTTTTATGACTGACTGGACAACCTCTACACAATGAAAATGAAGTTTTCCACAAGTGGTCTGAAAAGGGCAGTTTGTGTTACATTACAATATGTGAACGACATACTATAATAGTAGCCTCATAGCATATGTCCCATGTGAGGTTTATAATTATATCACGCACAGATGCATATGTCAGCTACAGATGAGGCATTATGGGACTCAAAAGGATGTGCTGGCTGCACAACAGACTGAACAGCACTGTGCTGAGCATCAGTCCCATGATTCCCATAAAGCGTGAGATTTGTTTGCACAGGAGCTCTCAGCCCCTCTCTGCCATCCATGTGTTATTAAGGAAAAGTAGGCCACATAACTGACAGCAGTTTCAGCTCCTGATAACTGCGCCTTTAATAACCACCACACACACACACACACACACACACACACAAACACGCTGAGATCAGGTGACTGATATAAGAGCAGGAAGGGTTTGTCAGCAGAGAAGTTTATTAAGTTTTATTTCGGTGGAGCAGCTCTGATGCCGGTCAAAGGGACAAACACACATCCGTCTGTTAAGTAGGTCATCCAGACAGCAGCTTCAGTGTGGATATAAACACTCAAAGGTCTTCACCCTCCTCAGTGTTTACATCAACCCTGCTAATCAAACACTGTCTGGAAAAACACAGCTGAACTACACTCCTCTACAGATCTGAAGCTACATATTTTTGAATCCACTGGCCATTTTCACAATCACTCAATGTATACCTCATTACTTGTTAAAAGGTAATAACACCGCTAAGTAAATTAGCATATTAGCCATTTTCAAAACAGTGTAGTTCTTTCCTGTCATGAGCTATTTTCCCCACAAATAGTGGTGCTGAACTAAAGAATTTATTACAATTACAAAAACAGTTGAGTAATCGATAGACGAAAACACAATTTAGCAAGTTTCAGTTGTTATGCAAATGCCTTCCAAATAAAGTTACATAAATAAAGATTGTTTAGCTTTTTTAGCAGGATATCTAACTCTGTGTTAAGCCTCGTTCACACCAAGAAAGATAACTATAAAGATAACGATATTAGCGTCCACACCAGCAAACGATATCGTTTGTTTATTCTAAGCGCACGTGCGTCTGTCGCTTTAAATTATCGAGCTTGTGATAGCAGGATTGATTCTGATTGGCTGTCAATGTATCGTTGTATCGTTCATCAGCTGGAAAAAATCGTTCTGAAAGTGATTCCAACGGTATCTTTTCTCTGTGCCTTTATCGTTATAGTTGTGGTGTGGACTTTTATTTTTTTATATTTTCAATTTTAAGTTTCATTTTGGTTGAAGGTTTAGTCATTTTGTTGTATGTTTTTGTCATTCATATAAGTTGTCGGTACAGTTTTTATTAATTTTTATTTCAGTTTTAGTTTATTTTAGTATCAAGAAATGTTGTCTTGGCAACTAGATGAAATAAAAAATATTTTTATTTTATTTGAAAGAAATTTTTTTCAAGTAACAATAAAATATGTTACTAAATATTATAACACTCATTTTAATATACTATTTAATTTACATTAAAATCCATTTTATATTATAACCTACTATATTTTACTTCTGAAAACATTTTGAATGTTTCAAGTCTGAACTCTGAGAAAATTGAGAGTTTGCAAGTTGTAATTATGGATTCTATGAAGACGTGAATGCTTTTTACAAGTTAGAATCGGACAATTATGATAAAACTAGTCTCAGCCTCAGACGTCACGCCCACGGACCGTTGGCTGAACGTCTGATGCATACGGCACACAAAAGTGGAAACACTTCAGGAGTTTCGAAGTCGTCATCGGATTGATTGAATTATACAGGATTTCCGGAGACTTGTGTGTCGCGTTCTATAAGGTTCGGCCTGAAAAACAAAGATGCCGTGACGCCAAACCCCCTCACGAAAGAAGAAAGCCGTCGTGTTTACAACTGTGACAACGAGCGCTTATCAGGATCAACTAAACGCTGGATTTTCAAAAGTATGTGAAATATTTAAAGTTCGCGGCATAGAATCTTTAAAATACGTCCGAGAGTTTTACACACCGGTCTGTTATTGTGGCAACATTTCCACGCCCCGAAACGTGATGCTGAAACGAAACAAACTGATTGGTTGTTTGACATGTCGGTCAAACGGCCTCATGGGCGGGCCTTGGCCAATAAAAGCTGCCATGGATTCCAGACCTTCAGCCGTCAGTCTGAAGGTCTGGCTATGCGAGACTATGGTAAAACCAACATGGTAACACACCTTTTATCAGTAGTTTAAATACTCTAAGAGTACCTAAGCACCTCAAGCAATCTGTAATAAGTTATGATGTTTAAAATAGTCTTGACAGAGATCGCAGATAATAAAGGAATGTTCCAGATTCAATACAAGTTAAGCGATAATGTCACAAATGGAAGTTAACTGGGCCAATTCTCAGTAAAAGCAGTAACGTGCAGCTTGTATTGTTGTTACAGTGCAGTAAATATATGATTTGAGCTGACGAACAGCATGAATGTTTACAGGCTTCAGCAAATTGTTTAAACTGCGCAGGCCGGAGGAGGGTGGAGTGTTTTGCTATGAGACTCTCTTTTCAAGGACAGTCAAAACAGTGTGCACCCAGCCAGGAGCTCAGAGGACCGGTTTGAGGCCTGCGGGACTTTCTATGGCGCCCAAAGCAGACGTGTGCCAATAACAGGCCCGGCGCTGCCGAGAAAAGGGGGCAGCCTAGTTCAGCAGATTCCTCTACAGGAAGACAGGTCCAGACTCGTGACTTTGGGCCCTACTGCCAAAGCTGATCTGACTACAGACTTCTAACTCTGGAAAAAAAATGGTGTGGGATTTACTTTAAAACAATTTTCACTCAGAAATTACAAGTAAATTAATGAATAAATACAAAGAAATGGCAAGTAACGATGCATATATTGTCTCTGTTCTATTTAGAACTTTTGAAAACTTCAATTTAGAACATTGTGACAGGACTAGACCAAACATATCCATTAGCATCATTTCAATATTTACATAATTCTAAAGTCAGACTTCAATGTTCACGTTGTTAGCTAGTTTCTTTTAGTAGTTTTAATGTATCCAACTACCTCTTCGAACGTTTTGCATTCACACCATGTTGTAATTTTGACAAGAAACAGTCATTATGTAAATGCCTTATTAATAAATCTTTGTTTATTTAACGTTAATCTAACTATTAAACTGTATTGTATGTCTTATGTTGTATGTTCAGATTAATTTTGCATTAAAAAATTAACAATGGTCATTTACTGGAATTATTAAACAGAAATACTATGAAAAACTACATTTTAGATCAAGAACTGTTCTTATGAATGTTCTTCTTAATGAAAATTCAGATAAACATTAATAACTGGCATTCATCAAATAACTACTAAACCTAAATAACTCACCCAATTTAGCAAAAAAGAATGATATTTTGTAATTCTCAGGAAAATGTATTATAAATTATTTGTAAAATGTGTATTTTGATGACTTAATATGAAAAATATTCAAATTATTCCTTCAGAAGGAAAAGAACTCATTAAAGCAAACGGTCTACTTAAGATAAAAAAAGTGTATATATTGTTTATTTATTTTGTGTGGAGAACAAAACGGAAGTGACTCATAAACACGTACATCTGCAGCCCTCAGGAAACGGGTCCCATGTGTTTATAAATGACTTCATTGTTGACTGCATCTGTATCATACACACACTCACAGACCAACACACACACACACACACACACACACACACATGCACGCTTCTGATCCAATCAGAGCCTGCTCTTGTCTTTGCTCCGCCCATTTGCCCATATATGGTCACCAGCTGCATTATGTAATGGCTGCTCTCAAAATAAAAACAAACACAGAGAGACTTCCTGCCTCTGCCTTTCTCAAACACACTCCCCTCACATACAGCCAGAGAGAAAAAAAGAAACACACACACACAGAGATTCAGGCACGCACATGTCGTGGGTGGAGGCTGACGTCAATCTTTTAAAAACGCAGCACGACTGCAAGAATCATATCGCGGCTTGTCCACGGGGACTGGTTTTGTGAGAAGAAAAACGGTTTGCATAATCCTCAGCAGACTGAAGAACAGCGGTTGCGCGTCTGTTTTTTCAAAGAGGAAACAGCACGGCTCGTGTTTTAGCTGTCTGATGAAGTTCAAAAACAGCTGCGTGTCTGTGTGTACAGACCCAAAAATCACTTCATCAAGCCCCAGAGCACATGACTGATCCAACGGTCAAGGGCTAGGTCAGATCTGCTCCTATCACTGAGGGATTTGTCCAGCATATCTTCAAATTGCTGATTTATGAGGCTACATGTGCAAGCAGACAGGATGTGGACACATGAGTGGGAGTCACGGCTGGAAGATTTTTAGACTGTAGAAAAATCTCTGATACTCGACTAGTCTATTCTTCCCAGATATTTTTCAGACAGCTTAAAAGGGGATGAAACTGTCAGCATGTTAAAACCTTGAGTTCTTAAATTCAGCCCCTTTAAAGCATCGGTGCTACAGTCATCTAAATTCTTAGGTCATTGCGTCACATCTAGCCCTTTCACCCCCCAGAGTCTGGCATCATAAGTGTTCATAAAGACAGCATGGCAAGTTAAAAATAGTAACAAGCATCTCTTTGTGCTCCATCTAGTGGTCTTTGAACTAGGGGTCGACCGATTATCGGCGCCGATATTAAGCATTTTTATGATTATCGGTATCGGTCATTTTCAAAACCGATTCGCCGATAAAATAACTTAATTTTGAAACGCGCTATTTGGCTCTGATGCAGCCTGTCAGAACTCACCACTCTGTGGCCTAAAGCAGTCTCCGCCCACCGCTCATCTGATTTGTTGGGAGTCACGAGTCCGACCAATCAATGCGAATTCACTCTCACTCCAAAAGCACTTGCTAACTGGAGCTGCTTCGGTGATCACACATCATCAGTTGTCTCTCAGAGGTAAGGCAGCAGCAAACGTTGCTTAAATTGCAATAGATCCCAATCCACTAACGTTGCACTGAAGTTGCAAAACACCTCAATATTATCTATGATTTCCGCGATGCGGAAAACGCGGACGGAATCGCGGAATCCAGTCATATAAATGGAATTTACTGTATGACGCGGAATGTCACGGAATTTGTCAAAGTTTGGATGAATTAATCAAAAGTAGGTCAGTACACTTAAATAGAGTCGCAATATGGATTAGTATCTGTAAATATTAAGCCACAAAAATACTATTTATAGTATAGTATGTGTATTATAATACAGACGAGCAGTTTTGTTTTCTACACATACAAAGTGTGCGACGCTCGCGGTGATTTCAGCTTCTGTCTTCACTACATGAGGACATAAATACATGAACAACATCTCCAGAACTGCGCTGACCCCTCTAAGCGTCATTTCATGAGCATTTGACCGTTTCATTGGAGTAAAACTATCTTCATACCATTTACATAGACCTACAGAATCAAGTTCCTCATGGCAACCCGTCAAAATATAAATTCGGGTTAGCTTAATGAAATTATCAGAAATATATTACTATCTTCATATCATTTACATAGACCTACAGAAACAAGTTCCTCATGGCAACCCGTCAAAATATAAATTCGGGTTAGCTTAAATAAATTATCAGAAATACATTAATGTGGTGCAGTATGATGTACATAATACTACTCTGGGATGAAAGTTTTCCGTTGCTACGATGGATTTTCGTCAATTGGAAAAAATGAGGGGAAAAGAAACATGTAGCACATTGTTGTTGTTCTGCCGGTGTTCTGATGATTTGCTGGTAGCATAATCTGATAGATAGCATTAAGTCAAGCAGGACTTGAATTTCAGGCGCAGGATTGTGGCTATTAATAATAATTCTACACATTCCCGCAGGTTCTGCGCTTATAACGCGATGACAGATGACGGAACTTATCATTTGCACTAGTGTTGTTACGGTACCAAAATTTCAGTATTCGGTACCGATACCAGTGACAATCCACGGTTCTCGGTACCAATTTCGGTACCAAAGCAAAACACAAAAACATGCTAATTGAACAACATTTTTATTAATAACGTTAAACAAAAATTAAATGTACAAAACCAATGCCATTCTTTATACTTATTTAAAAGTGTTTCAAGTTTTCCCACAAGTAATAAAAGTAAGAAAAAAGTAAACAAGTTTCACCCAAAAGTTTAGTCATAGTTCTGCTGCCACTGAAAAACATCTGTAAACTGTTGTCTGTTTTAGGGTTTGCTGGT